GTCTGGCACTGACCTCTAACTGCCAATACTTAGGACTACTGGCAGATGCTACCATAATGTTTCATCTTTCACTGGACTAGTCACGCTGGCAGTAAAGGCAAGTTTAACATCATATTTCTGGCATTAGCTCTATCTTGCTTCTCAACAAAAAAGATTAAGTTTTTGTTAATGCTGTCAGTCATCTTTGCTTCATTTTGAAACCCTGTCAGAAATGGATAAAACAAAGCAGAATATCAAAAGTGCTCTTGTGTTATAAGTGAAAAGGTGGTTAGACTGGATGAGCTCCTTATGCTCTTTTAAAATCTAAAATTTAGTGATTTGCTTTTTGCAGGTTTATTAAAAATGGTAACCCATGCCACAGTCTCAAAAAGAAAATGCCATGATTGTAACTTAGAAAGCAAGCCCTCGACAAGGCCTACCAGGATATTTCAGGTCCTTATAGCAATGGGGCTTGACTGATGGTTAAATTATTATTACTTTTTGGTGGGGAAGTCAAACTTACTCCATCGAACACAGACACATGACTAGTATTCAGCCTCTGAATCTCATGTGGTATAGCTACAATACCACATGCTACTATACCACAGACAATTTCAGGGTCAAGTTGACTTTCTATTGTCTAAGATTGAAGAGGAATGGTAGCAGAAATCCAAAAATGAAGGCTTATTTTTTTTTAGCCTTTGTATGCAGATAGTGGAACAGATAAATACTGATTTGTGAGGGACATATCATAGAAATAGAAACATGGGGGCAATCTTTTCTCCACCAGGGGCGTGAAGCCACAGAATGAAAATACATATTTCCAGAATAGAATAAAGAAGGAAAAAAATACCATGGTTTTTTCCCAGAGTAGAAAAACACTGTTTTTTAAAAAAATTTATGTTTATGGGTTAAGCATTTATCAGCTTCAGATACTTTAATTGTGAATACCTTAAAGCCACAGGTTTCTAAATTAATCACATTAATCTTTAGTAAAATTTAACTTTAAAGAAAAGTAAAGCAATTAAAACTTTTAGAATGCATTATGACTTTTTATAAACTAATGTCCCATCCCACTATAAATATTATAATGTTTGACAGCTTAATGATAATAAAATCAACTTCCCAAACATTTTCAATTTTTCTATGTATTTCAAGACAATTCTAATGAGATAAGTGGAAGATACAAAGATAAAATATGTCAAAACTGAGAAAAATTATGTTCTATAGTTACACCATTTATCAGTTCTCTAGCTACTATATTTGTTATTCATTTTTATTATCATTACTACTTTAATGGTGTTCAGATGCCTATCACGATAAAAATAAAATCATGTTAATTTTGATTAGCTGAATACAATACCTGGGATGCTGAAACAGATACATACAGCCAGAGCAAAAATTTCAATTGATTTACTTAGGAATAGCAAATAATAAACTTTTTTTTAAAAAAAGAAAAGTGGATTAAAGGCACGTAGACATTTTTGTATACCATCATTTTTTGGCTAGTCACCAACTTTGCCATTGAAAGTAATGGCAAAAACCGCAATTATGTCTGCACCAACCTAATAAATACTTATTAGGATTGGACAGTAATACAAACTGATACTGACATAGTCAGGAGGAGGACGGTCCACTGGAAAGAATAGGAGAGGGCTAATTGGTAGGTTCTGGGAACTGGGTGGAAACATATTCACCAATCTGGACCAGATTCTAGGTAACAGGACTAAATGCAGGAAGGTCTTACTTAAACAATGCTTAAAATATAGTGTCTAAAACATAAGTAGTATCTGAAATATAAGTGATGTCTAAAATAGAAATATAGATTCAGGTACAGGAGAAGAAGAAGCAGGGCAAGCAATGTGCTTCCACATCACGATAAGCCCTCAAATGTCTCCATGTAACATCTCCCTGCTATTATAACACGTAAGACTTTGGAGTTGAAATCCTTGTCTACATGTGGGCCCTGCCATTTCCAGAGTTTTAAGCTTGGGTACATGACTCGACCTTGCTAGGATTTAGTTCTCTCATTTATAATACAGGAATAGTATTTGTCTAATAGAGTTGATTCAATGAAATTGCAAAGATTCAATAAAACAGCATTTTTGTAAGGTTAACACAGAATTATCACCCAATAATAGTTGTAATTATATTTATAGGAGTGGGGTGTGTGGTATGGAATGTCACAAACTCAGTTACTGAATCAGTATTGTAAATATATTAGATGTCTTATTGAAATATAGTGCATGTTTTTATTTGCTCCATGACAGTGTGAAATTTGATATTTCCTTGCTTCTGGTATGGCTAGGGAGTTCCTAGTTTCAGTCCCCATGAAAATGGCAACTTAACCCTGGAAAAATTGTTGTAAAACAGCCAACTAAGGTCTGGAGACTAAAAAGACGCAGCAGAGAGTGAAGGAAAATCAACTCCTGAAAGGAGGCAACAGCCCTGAGTGAATTTCCTAATTTAGGACTTGTACCTGAGAACAGGCTCTGGTGTCCACAATGTAGAAAGGCTAAAACTCTGGTAGAAAACCCACAGTCCTAACTGACTTGAAAAACCAGACAGCAGAGTTGAGAGCAAATGCAACCAATAGAAAGCGAGAAAGAAAATCCTAGAAAACAGAGTCCAGAAGCTCAGAACCTGTAAACAAATTCTTTTCAAATCTCTGGCTAATTGTGAACCACGCATGCACAGCATAAATTCCAAGCACCCCAGGTAAAGCCAACAAAACAGACAAACAAACAAACGGCAACAGCAAAATTTAAACTGTTACCCACCAAGGCGAAGATGGATTTTATACTTTGAATCCAGTCAAGTGCCTGCTAACACAAAGGAACAACAACAAAAAAAAGTATTAAATAGAATTTAATAGGTAGTGGATCCCATAGATGTTATAGAATAACATCTATAACATCATTATACAATATATTTAGAATCTATAACATCTATATGGAATAATATCTATAACATCATCCACAATGTCCCAGAAACAATCAAAAATCAATTCACATATAAAGAAACAGGAAAATAAGACTTATTTTTAAGGAAAGGAAACAAAACAATAGAGAACAGCCCCAGGATGACCCAGAAGTGAAAATTTTAATATAAGGACTTTATAACAGTGATTATAACTGTGTTCAAGGAAAGGAAATTATGCTTATCATGAATGAAAAGATTGGAAATATTAGTAAAGAAATAGAAATCCTAGAAAAAATGAAATGGGAATTCTAGGATGAAAATAACATAATATCTAAAATAAAAAGTGAGAAGAGTGAAAATCACCTAACCTTACACAGCGTACGTAGTCACAAAGACAATAACGCTGATCAAAATGTTTATGACAGCTACCGGAGCCTATATCAACAGGGATTCAATTTAATCTAGGAGATCAAGGAAGGCTTCTCTAACAATGAGATATTGAAGCTGAGATCTGAAGAATGAGTAAAATTGACCTAGGATAAAGAGTGGCAGAAGCAGGGGAGGAAAGGTGATGAATTCTCAGCAATGGGAAAAATGTTTCAGCAGGATCAGAAGAAACGCAATTTGAATAAACTGAAAAGTAGGGAACATGAAAACATGAGTCCATAGAATACACCAAGACCAAACTATTTAGGGTCATGTAAATCATGCTAAAGAGTGTTCTGTGCTACATGAATGTATTGAGTGATTTTATTCAGAAGCAAAACATGATTAAATCTACATTTCCAAATATTTATTTCCTGTGCATCAATTTTTTCATATGCAGTGGGAATGATGTGGCCACTTACAGCTTTCAAATTCTGTGAGATACAAATTAGGAGTCTTAGTAGATTTGTTCAGCAATCTATACATTCAAGTAATTGTGATTCCAAAGGACCATTGGCTTCGGTGACAAAATCTATTATCTGAGATGCCAAAAATGCCTATGAAGAATTGAGTCCTTGTTATTCTAAGTGAAGTAACTCAGGAATGGAAAAGCAAACATTGTATGTTCTCACTGATATGTGGGAGCTAAGCTAGGAGGACGCAAAGGCATAAGAATGATACAATGGACTTTGGAGACTTGTGGGGAAGAGTGGGAGGGGGTCTAGGGATAAAACACTACAAACATGGTGCAGTGTATACTACTCGGGTGATGCATGCACCAAAATCTCACAAATCACCACTAAAGAACTTACTCATGTAACCAAATACTACCTGTACCCCAATAACTTATGGAAACCAATTAATTAATTTAAAACAAAACTGAGTCTTTCTGGGAAAAAAGTAACTATGAGCTTATCTTCTGCTTCTTTTGGGCAAAAATGACTGATGGCAGAATAGGGAACCTATCCAAAAAAATACTTCATACATTTTATTCTACCCTGTGTTCATATTATAACCTTGCATATAGAACATAGATATTATTTTTGCCATAGAATAAGCAAAAGAGAATATATATTCTATTTCAAGTCATGAGTCCTTTATACCAGGGAGATTATAAAGATAATAGTAATAATAACATTAATAATACTTGAGCATTATGTACCAGGCACTTTGTGTTTTTTTTTTTAAATAGACACTCTTATTTTAATTTCACAACAATTGTGTAGATTTTCTACTATTATTATCATTCCCATTTTAAAGATAGTAAATTCAGACATAGAAAGGTACTTCTGTTGGCCAAATTCATTCAGGTATTTTTAGGTTGAAGCAAGATTTCTTCCCCAGCATTCTAATTTTAGAAGGCACGCTCTGGTGCATCCAATTACACTGTATAGAGTTATTCGTATGCACATCCCTGTTCCATTTAAATCAAAGTTACGTTTTGTGGGGTGAAGCAGATAGGAGTGCAAAGGTGCCTCTAAAAACACGAGATCCACCTAGACATACCTGAATATAAAGAAGCCCCTGTTTTTACCACTTCTGCATTGGCAGTTTATTAAGAAAAAAACAGCACATTTTTGGACTGACTGGTATGTTATGTTCCCAATAATAAGCTGATTTACAAACAATAAAGGACAAAGTCTCTCTTCCAAGAAATTCACAATTTCACCCACTTGAATCATTTTCTTCCCGTCTGGCTGGAAATTCCCATTTCCTCCAGGTGCGGAAGCCATCTTATCTGCTCAGGCTTTCCTGCAGGTGACAGCGTAACATTCTAGAAGAAAGGCAGTGGGGAGAAAAAGCAATGCTCATTAAGAGAAAATCAGATTCATATTCCTCACACATATGCCTTCATGTCCACACACTGAGAATTTTTAAAGTTGGAACAAGGATACTTTGCCTGCTTTATTTCTGTTCACCCTCACACATTTCTGCCTCTCTGAAGAAATCGAAAGCAATGAGAACAGTAAAGATTTGACATGCAGTTGCAGAATTGTCCATGTACATAACCTGGCAGTCCCAGGTGTTGGGGAAATGCTTCTTCCCCATTTCAAATCATTTCCTCCCTGTTCATTCAAATAATCAACCATTTTTGTAACATCAGTGGCATCTCTTTACCGTGTTTCTTTCCCACGGAGAAAAGTGACTTACCTGAGAAGGGATTTTGATGCAAAAATGTGTATTTCAATGAATATAATCTCTGAAAATGCAATAACATTAGACATTAACAATAAAATACTGATAATTAGGAATATCATCTATTTTAAAAAATACATATCATGTGTTTTTAAATAATTAGTTAAGTATTATCATGGGTATTAGAAAATATTTAGAACTGAGTTTAAGAGAAAACATTACATATCAAATTTTGTAATGTACAGATAGTAAAATATCGAAACACAAATACACATGTAATGTTACGTGTATACTTTATGAAAAGTATAACTGAAAATTAATGAGGTTATTATTCAAATGATACCGTTAGACAAAATAACAGAAATAAAGTAGAGAAAAGAATGAGAATAATGAACACAAATCAGTGAAAAAGATTTCCATAAACAAAATTTATTATTTTAATGGAATAATAAAACATCTTGTAGTATGATTGATCAAGAACAAGAAAACACACTATTCAGACAATAGGTATCCTTTTACAATAGCATAATCACAATAATAATCTCTGTATTTCATTCAATTCCAACAAAATTCTAATAGAGATTCACCATATTTTAAAAACTCATTCTAAAATTAACTTGGAAACATAAAGTTAAAATTTGACAAGGTAGAAGGAAAATAGAAGGACATGAAGAAGAAAAGGAGAAAGATATAGAGAAAAAAGAAGGAAAGGAGAAACAAAAAAGCAAAAGAAGAGAAAGAAATACTGATAATCTACCAGATATCTATAATTTCTGTAAAATTATTTTAATCAAAATGTAGTATTAATATAAGGATAGAACAAACTATTAAGGCTAATATCTGTCCCACGCACACATAGCAGCTTGGTTTATGATGGAATCTACATTACAAATTAGTTGATATATCAAATAAGACAAATATTAAAAAATGAATAGTGGCTTCAACCCGGTCCTCAACCTTTTAAACTTTACGTGAAGGATGAAGAAAAAATGGGGACGAAGAAGTGCATAGAGTCCTTATCAAATCTCTTATACACTTCTACTCTTACAGAGGAAAAGAGAAATGGAGCTAGAGATGGCATCAGATCAATGGAGAACTATTTTTAAAATTTGAGGACCACAAGGAATGATGGCATGTTAAGGGAAAGAATCCAATGTACAAGAAATTGTTGATGTAGGAGATAGAATATTTTGTGAGTAAATTCTTGAGTCGGTAAGAGAAGATGTGATCTAGAGCATTATGAAGTGGCAGCTTTAGGAGTAGGAAAAGTACTGTTATGTAAGGGATGGGAAATGTATGGGAATAAATGAAGTTGGTAGTAGAAAGATAAGGGATTCCTGTCTGGTTGCTGACTCTGTCCTCACCAGTTGGGGGACCTACCTTAGACAAATACCTCTGCTTTCTGATCTCTGTGTCCTTCAAATAGAAATGGAAAAAAATATACATTAACCTCATAGTATTTTGTGATGATCAAAAGAGATGGTGTATATAAGGCACTTAGCATACTGCCTGGTGTATAATTAGTGCTCAATTAAAAAGACATTCTTATGTGGCAATATATTCTGAGGAAAGCATCACACAAATCCACTGGAACTTGCTGAACACTTTAGCAAGTGGATTAGCTGGCATTTACTTATAAGCAAAAGGTACAATTTTGACAGAGAGGAAGAGAATTTTTAAAGGTTAGAAAATTATAAATATCAAAGCCAAAATCTGAGATCAATTAAACGTTTGAATATGGGAATCCCAAGTATTTATGTTTCTGACTCTACTTTTCCCTCTGAGCGCCTCTATTCTTTCATATATGAATTAGGAGAAATGATAGTACTATCTCACAGGTAGGTTTTGGATTAATGGTTAATAATGTAAAACATAGAGAATGACACCTTGCACAGCAATTGTTATTATACAATTTTGCAATTATATAGATTTATATAAATATTTCATAATAGAATATGTAAATCATAAATAAAATATACTTTTATAAGTGTAAAACACTAGTTGTATAAATTAGTTACATAGATATTACCATATAAATTTTCTCCAACAGTGGAGAAGAATTAAGAATTATACAACAAATAAACACACACACACACAAAAAAAGAATTATAATAATGTTTTTCATTTACTTCTTTTTGACCCTTTTGCAACATGTTGTGTCTTTGAACCCTCACAGTTTAATCCAAGAGTGAATTACGATAGTGGTGAAAATTAATTAACATTCAAAGTATATAAAATCCTATCTTTTATGCCACCTAATTTTATGATGGATCAAATCAATTCTATTTTATTCCTCTTTGTTTAAACCAAAGTAGCTCAACTACATCACCTTGAGCCTTTATTTAGAAAAGAATGGCAAAACAAAGTTCTCACCAACAAAACTTCTTGGCGTTCAAATGCTTGGAATTATTACACTATTGGTCTTTTCATTTTCAGATCCTCTGGCAATAGATGCAGCAGAAGGGCTCTCCAAAAACCCTTTGTCCTGCTGCTCTTCTGGTTTGATTTGCCATTTCAAAGATTTTGAGAAAGCAAAGGATTCTAGGTTTGATATGTGGTTCAATTAACAAAATAGCATCCTCTATCTGATACAAAACACAGAGAAATTCTTGGCCCTGGAAGTAGTGGTTTTCCCATCATTAAAGCATTTAAGCAGATGCCTCACAGCCACTCCACAAGAACGTGAGAAGTCTCAAGGCTTCCAGCAGGCTGAGCCATTTCTTCTGTGAAATGCTTCCTCCTCACTCCCGCCACAGGTTTCTAATGGAGGCTTTCATATTCTTATTTGATGCTGGGTCCCTATATGTGGATTAATAGTCTAATAATGAACAAGTAAGTCTAAAGGGACCATCAGGAGCTTTTCTTAGACTTTTCAACCTGAATCTGAGAGAGACACTAGAATTTAGAGTTGAAGATTTGGGACGGCGGACCAGGCTCCCCATGGTTGTATCAGTTCCTCCACTTACAAGTTTGGGGTAACCAGAGAGGTTACTGGACACCTCAGTCTCTTTTTCTTCATTTGTAAAATGAAAGAATAAGAAAACAGCGTTGTCATGAGACTTGCATGAGTTACCACATGTAAAAGACTTCCTATAGTTTTTGGCAGAGTAAATTCTCAATTAAAATTAGATAGCATTAATATATGATTACTATCAATCAACTCTCATTGCTCATAGATTTGTAGGAAGTAGATCTGAGTGGTGAAGAAGGGAGGTCCCTGGTCATTTAAGTCTATTTCTAGTTATTCGTGAAACTGGATGCATTTCTTCCCTTCCAATAAATTCTCCTTTTCCCTGGGGGAAAAAAAAACCAAAAACAAAACTGGATTTCTATCAGTTGTCATAAAACCAAATGATTTGATAATGAACTTTGAATAATATCAGATAGGTGGCAGCTATGGAATTCTACACTTCAGTGATTCTATACCTAATTCAGATTGGCCCATGCAAGATGCCCTCTGGCCTGGCTTTTGCTATTAAATATTGTGCTGCAAGAACTCAATCTCAGTTTATAAAGTAGTAGTCAGCTTTGGACATGTAAATTACTATAGCAGAAGCAGAAGACTCAGTCCTTACTTCCAAATGAAAATAATAATATTATGAAAAAAAGTATTAATACATGGTAGAAAGACACATCCCCCTCACAAAAAAAAAAAAAAAAAAAAAGGCAAAGCCATTATTTTTTCTTTACCCAGAAAAGCACATAAAAATCTTTATCTAGACTGGGCGCGGTGGCTCACCCCTATAATCCCAGCACTTTGGGAGGCTGAGGCAGATGGATCACGAGGTCAGGAGATCGAGACCATCCTGGACAACATGGTGAAACCCCATCTCTACTAAAATACAAAAAGTTAGTCAGGCATGGTGGTGTGCACCTGTAGTCCCAGCTACTTGGGAGGCTGAGGCAAGGGAATTGCTTGAACCCAGGAGGTGGAAGTTGCAGTGAGCCAAGAATCTGTTCTTTCTTAATCTTTAAATATTATTTTAAATAGTATCAGTCTTTTATTTCAATTTGTTTATTTTTTTTCTTTCTGGAGAATAGTAACAAATAATTATTTAAAGTCAATAGGAATAGGAAAGCTGAGCTTATTGATCCTGAAGCAGAGTTTAATAAGCGACCTTTAGTTTATCTGTCCGTAGCTATAGCTATCCATGTATCTATCTGTCTTTATAGAAGGATAGATGGAGAAATCAAGTAGAGTTCCTTGCTCCCAGATTAAATGATTCGGTGTGAATTAAGGTAGATGCCATGTAGTGTAGATGGAAATAGAGTAACCTAGAGAATTTTATGGGCTTCCTTTGGAGGAGATATTTTAGTGTAGGTGTAGGACAAACTTGTTGAAGAATCTGAATGTGGATGGAAAGGAAAGAAATAAAATGTACTCATTGAAAACAGACTTACCTCAAGTTCTTGAAATCTTCTCAGAATTCTACTGTGTTGGCATCTGTGTATAATCATCAGTTAAAAATAAAATCTAGACCTTCTCAAATATCCATAAGCCTATAATATGATGAAAATAAGGAAGATTTGAACATATGAGCTGTAAGTGCCAATTCTAATTCTACCACAACTATTATGTGACCTTAGGCAAATACCTTAACATCTGTAAGTTCAGTTTACTCATCTTTATAAGAGAACAATGCTCGTATCATGCTTTAATTATAGTAGCTAAGAAGAAAAATAAAAAATATAAGCCACAAAGTACAAATACAAATAAAAACAACTACTAGACTCTGAGTTTTTCACACTTATGGATCTACGTTATTTATCTTTTTGTCCCCAATACCTAGCATAACATTCCCACTTCCCTATATGTAAAATCCAAACTTCTTAATATTATTTTTTAAAGATTCATAATGATATAGCCCTTGTTTCTCTCTTACATTATCCCTTGCCACTTTACATTGATGTTCTCCAGTTGTAAAGATTTTGACGTTGTGAGTTCTTGAATTGTTCTAATATCTCGGGGTTTCTGCACGCACTCTTGTCTGTGTCAGGAACCCTCTCACCTGTTCTTTTCACTATGTTCTACTTAACCTTCAGATTTATTCTCTATGCGGTTTCTTTCAGGATCCTTCTATGATATTCCAAAGACAGATTTGATGCCTCTCCTCTATGTTTGTGTGACACCTTGTCTGTACTTGCTAATATAGCACTCAGCAGAGGATATTAAAATTACTTATTTCCCATTAATTTACAAACTCTTTGAGACAAAGGCTCTGTCTTGTTTACCTTTCCATTCTCAGAGGATATCAAATAGTCACAAAACAGGTGCTTAGATATTTACAGAATCAATCCTAATATGTTGTAAATTAGAACATCAAAAATGGAAGAATTTCTTATTTTATCTTATAGAGATCAGGTATTATTTAGGAACAAGTTCTTGAAAAGAATAAGTAATTGGAAGATATTTAATCTTCTTAAAAGATTGAATGTGAGGAGAGATGGATATTTTAAAATATGATTTCTTGCCAAATTTATGAAGACATTTGTAATATGATACAAAATTTAAAGTTTCTACTGAAAGGCAAAAATACAGCACTTATCAGAAATCTCTAAGAGTGTAAGACAGTTCCTTCTGGATAAATCTTCAAAGCCACTATTTGAGAACTGGTTGCAGTTTTCTTTGATCTCTTTTTTCCCATTTAGGGGATAGAAAAGGCACAAATGGAATTTGTGGGCAAGATTCATTTGCAGAGAATGGACTGTGAAGTCTCTTGCTGAGTCTCTCTCTGTCTGTCACACACACAGACACACACACACACACACACACACACACACACACAAACTTAAAACCAAGGAGGCATGGGAGCTCAACTTCCTTTAGTCTCAACCCCTCAAACCTAAAGTTGAGGGTCTTTAGTAGGACCACTCATAGAATTTAATATGTGTAACCTCAAGTTTGGAAGGTCTGATTCACATGTTGGAGATCTGGCAGGCAAGAGAGATGGTTTGGCGGGCTGTTTAGTGAAGAAGTGAGTTGGGATGATAGTCCTGAACTCCCAGAGTTTGTCAAGCCAAACGACGTGTGAACAATTCCCTTAGACCATATGTGGGCCATGTCCAATGTGTGAGCGTTTCCCATGGACCAGATGTAGGCCATGCAGCAAAGAGAGCCAGTGTCCAGACTTGTCTTGGCTTCAAGAGGACTGCATGAAGGTCAAGAGGACACCAGTAGAGAGAGGTCTCTATGAACGGGATTTTCAAAGGCAGTCAGCATCCAGAGCAAAACACATTGTCCTCACCCCAGGACTCAGGAGGAGGCTCCAAACAACTCACAGCAGTGTCTCTACTCAATATCTGCCAGGTCCAAAGTGCATAAAGCCATTTTATGAGATTGCCAAGCCAGCAAAGTATCTGATAGCTTTGCTCTTCTTGCCCCTAGACTTCAACCCTCACTTCAGGATGAGATAGGAGAGAAGAAAGAAAAAATAAAAAGCCAACTACTAAATTCTCCTCTCCAAAGACAAGTGCTCTGCATATGCCTCAAAAGCCAACATGAACATATTTTATAAAGCAATATTAAGGCAATGGCCTTCCAGAAAGAGCATAGCTGGTTTAAAATATGGGAAAGTGATTTATAGGAAAAGTAAAACTCACAAAATAAAACTAATTTATTGATTGATTGACTTTTACATATTTTTAGAGTCAGGGTCTCACTATGTCCAGGTTGGAGTGCAGTGGTCATTCACAGGTGTGATTACCACGCACTCTGGCCTCAAACTCCTGGCCTCAAGCAATCCTCCTGCCTCAGCCTGCTTAGCAGCTGGGACTACATACATGTGCCACCACATCTGGCCTAGAACTAACTTTAAAATGTTTTTAAAACTTTTTTTGTAATTTAGCTGTTTTAAACCAAGTTACAGCCTAAAGACAGTGAGGAAGTCTTCTGTCATAATTTCAGTTTGTATAAATATCTCAGAACATAGATATGGAACACTAAGCTCCATTGCACCTCTGCTGCAATAATCATAAGGGAAATGGTGTGAGCACCATATGGCAATCCTAGATTATCTTCCCATCCCAAAGGGAGTTAGAGAATCTAAACGCTAGTCAGCAGCAACACAATAAAGTATTCAAATTAAATCATTTTTATTTAACTCAGTTATCAGTGAGTTGAATATTCTTTCTTTCTTGCAATAGATAGTAGGGCAAATAAAACGCTCCCCCAAAAAACCTAAGATATTCTAGACGGAAGACAAATATGAACAAGAGGTTGATGACCAAAGGAGAGTAGCTTGGTGAAAGTAGAGGAATAGGAGTTGGTGAAGGAAGTCAGGCACAATGGCTCATGCCTGCAATCCCAGCAACTCAGGAGACTGAGGCAGGAGAATCACTTGTGGCTGGGAGTTTGAGACAAGCCTGAGCAACAGAGCGAGACCCTATCTCTTAAAGAAAATAAAAAAACAAACAAACAAACAAAAAAAAACATGAATCGATGAGGGAAAAATATGGCCAGAGTTGGAGCAAACTAGACTTGCATTATCATGTCATGGAATGTTGCAACTGGAAAGGAACCAACCACTTATTTTACAGATAAAGAAACTAGAGCCCAATAAATTAATTTACTCATGATCAAATAGTAGGTGGCAACACTGGGCCTCAAATCCAGGTCTTTGGACTGTAAATACTGAAGTTATTTCTCTGAGCTTGCCTCCTAAGCAATCATCAGCATGGTGTGCTTAGAGAACATCAGCATTGTTCTTAAAGAAGAATAAATCATGAAGGGAAGGGTCCAAAAGACCATGGCAGTGGAAAGATCAATACTCATGAATAAATAGAAGCAAAATGTTTCCACCGAGAAGGATCTCATGTCTTGAGGTCTTAAATTTCATGAGTATGGGTCTAAGGAAAGAAGCAATAAAGGAATATAATCCCTCCACACATGGTTCAAGAAGGCTTTATGAGGGCATGGGGGATTTGAGGCTGAGAGAAAGCCTATTCAAAGTTCTGAGCTACGTTGAAAGAGGAAATGCTCTACATATAAAGATTTACTCTAATTTCTGGGGTGTTTTTTCCCCGTATAGAATCTAGGACCTGTGGTTTATTAGCTTGATTTTCATGATGAGAATGAAAAAGAAATTACTTTTTCTTCTTCTTTGTGAGGTATTTGCTGTATGGGGAAAGACATCCTAATCCCTTTGCTCACTTTGCATGGCTCTCTATTTCTATTCATTTTGCTTCAAGAGATCATTAAACCCAGCTGTGCTCAGCAGTGATCATGGAAATAGATGGAGAGAGATTTGACGGATATGACAACAGAGCAAGGTTTCACACCCAGGATTTTATGCTGAGGAGTGAGGAGGTAAAAGACCTCCTGACTGAGGCAAGATGATTTCAAGAGGCACTCTCCTCTCTGGGAGGGCTTCGGAGCCAGCCTCATCCTCCCGCCCTGGCTTTGTCTTCCAGAGATTAACACAGGAATTCTCTCTGACAGTGGCATGTCACTTGTATGACTAGCTGAGCCTGAGATTTTAAGAGCCTTTCTATATAACATTTGGAAAAATAAAAAAACACACACACAATCTAAAAGATAGGACTGGTCCTGCTAGGTTAATACTATAGAAACATGAGCTGGGAGAAAAGATGAATTGAACACGGTAGAAAAATGTAAGTGAAATGGCTTGATTATTTACTGTGGCGGATTTCTGTTGCTCTGCTTAAAGTGGCTGGCATAGCATCAGGAAAGAGTTTAAACCACCAAGAAATGCAGGGAGTCACCTATGGAATCTCAGCCTGATGCTAATTATATCAGCACTTTGTAGGGAGAAAATGGCACTCTTGGATGGAAGAAATTGCAATGGAATCAATAAAATATTCCACTCAACTGGGTGATGTTGAGTTAGCTTCCCAATATCTCAAGGCTGCAGGTGAAATGTCACAGTCTAGCTTTAAAAGAGCTCAAGCAAGAGACAAAAGTCCTGCTTATCATGTGGATGTTTCTGTGTGAATGTGCATGGAAAAGTAAATACAAATATACCTTACATTTAAATAGTCAAGAATCATCATTAAATAAACACCTTCCATGTGTCTATGATTGTCCCAGGCATCAAATACAAGATATGAGCAAAGATCTCCAGCTTTTGAGACATGATCAGGACCCGATTTCTGCTAAATCCCAAAGAACACCAGAAACCCAGTGTAGACTATCATTACTAACTAACCTGGCTTGACTTAACAGGTGAAATCTATTTGCCCTCCTGCTCTTAACCATGTTCATACATTACAGGCAATAATCTTAAACTTTATTTCAAGGCAGAAAGGACATGAAATCATTTTAGGTGATGCGTAATAACAACATAAGCACTGGATGGAGACCTAAGTGGTTTAAGTTCAACTTCTGCCTATATGATCTTGTGTAAATCAGGGTCTTTTTAGTTATCTCTAAATGAGAAGTTACTGATGCTTGTTCTGGCTACTTCACGGTATTTCTAGGAAGGTTCTGGAAGCAATATGCCAGCTAGATTGCATGGGAGGCTGGGGATCTTGCTAGAGGACTC